CACAGAGATCAGGAGAAAACACAGGTTCCAGAAGGAAGACTCAGAAATTGGAAATGGGCTCTTAGCTGTGAAGACCCCTTGCCCCTCACAGTCACCCCAAGACCATATGCAAGATGAAAGCCACCCATGAGCGCAGATCTGCCCCTGGTCTGAGGATCCTCAGCCTGGCCTCAGCTTCTTGGATCACCTAGGTGCCCCAGACTCAGCACTTAGAGCTGACAGAGGGGGCTTGCCACACCTCCCAATCGCATTCCTGCCAAAGGTCATGGTGTAAGACGTATGGGGGCACCTGCTGCACATGGCTGGCAGGGACCACTGACAACAGCATCCGCACGCTCACACGCATATGAGAAAGAGCCCCAGGCTTTGTGTGGGGATGCTGGCTCTGCCTAGGGCACAGACACCCTCTACTCCGAGACCCAGAAACGAAGCCAGGCACTTGCTAGTCACAGGCAGCTAGCTTTCTGCTGCACCCAGCTCCCTTTGCCCAGCATCCAACCTGAGCAGGGCCAGCTCTGTGGAAAGGGCTCAAAAGACCCTGCCTTCCTCTCCTGGGACCCAAAGGTTGTCAACCCAGCCCTTTTGTCTGGCAGAACCAGCTGTCAGCAAAGCAGGCAGGACAAGGATCATAGGCAGCACATGGACTCTGCCACAGAAACTTGGTTAGCCTTCTCAGCAAGGAGGCTTCAGGTTGATTTGGTGAGAAAGTGGAACGGAATGATGGGGGGCTCCGACGGGGGAAACTGGGGGCCAGAGTAGGCCTGCAGAGTTGTTACAATGAAACAGCCTAGGACCCCAGGGCTGGCTGCTGGGTCCAGGGTCCCAGGACTGATTTCTCTGCCCAGGCTGGGAAAGATTTAGACCCTCGGGTCCCTTTATCCCTAATCATCGTGGGTGGGCAGGGTACCCAAGAGTAGAGCTGGGACTGTCAGCGCATTGAGATCAACAGAATCTCTGCACAGGGCTCTCCACCCACCCTCCTCCACCATGCCTGTGAGTCAGAGGGCAGCCAGGAGACTCCTCCCTCAAAAGCCTCTGCCATGTGGCTACCAAAGTCTTTCCCCTCTTTTCAGGCTCCCTCCTGCAGAGCAGAGCCCTTTAGAACTTGCTGCCTCTCCCAGTGGTCTGAGCAGTCCCTGCCCCACTACCCACACCCTTCCTGCTGGAGAACCCTCCCTTCGGGGCACAACAAGGGTCACCGCCAGCTCCATTCCCCAGCCGGGTTCCCGTACCCCCAGCCCCACTGGTCCCACCCGGGACCCCAGGCCTGCCAGAGGGCCGCCTCCCTCTGCCGCAGTCAGCACACTGAATATTTAATGTCTGACGAGCGCTTCCACCTGCTGACACAGGAAAAGTGGCAGAACAATGCCGACAGGGACACAGCCAGTCCCCTTACAGGCGGCCTCCCGTGGCCCTGCCTCTCCACCCCCCACCCTGAGCGGACTCCCACAGCGGTCTGGCGAGAGAGTTCCTAGCCTGAAATACATACTTCTTTACATTCCATAACTTAGCAGGTCCATATGGGTATATAAAGAAGTATGTGCCCCAAGCAGGTAGTCCAGTGTGCATAAGAGTGTGGCCCAGCATAAGTTGGCCCCACTCAGTGGGGAGAAAAGGAAGAACTCCCAAAAGTTCTATACACTAGTTCCCCATGCCAGGTCAGGCCTCGTTCCCCACCCCCAGTGACTCCTCCGTAGTTGGTGCTCCCCACTCTGCACCCTCTGTGCCTATGCTCAGTCTCTCTCACACATGTGCACACTTGGTAAAGAAGGCTGGACACAGACAGGGCGTGCTGGAAAGTCTCAAAGATCTTATTCTCCCTAACCGTTCATCATTTTCCCCTCAAAGGAACGAGAGTGAAGTTCTCTCCCATTCTCCCTGACAGAGGAGAGTCACATCCCAGACTTTCAGAAACAGCACCCAGCCTCTGCCGACATCTTCCCTCTCCTTCCTACCCACCTTGTCCCCACCAAGGACAGAGAGGATGAGGTAAGGAGCCAGGATTCAAGAGCAGCTCGAGAACCCCAGACGAAGGACCAGGCACATCATTGTCCTAGGAATAGCCCAGCTCCCTAAGGACAGATGGGGACCAGCAGTTTCCAAGTCTGCAGAAATGAACCAAGGGGCTTACCTGGACAGGCGATAGCTTCCCTGGCAGGGCCCTGAGGAGAGGAGGGCTCGGTGCCTCTTTTTTTGAAGTGAAGGAGAAATGCGGCGGTCTCGGACTCCATGTCCCCACAAGGTGTCTAGGGGCTCCTGAAAGGTGACCTGCTCATGGCTAGTTCTTCAGGGCTCAGCCTGGTCTCAGAGTCGATGCCCAGCCACTGAGGGAGTGCTTCTACTCTGGCCACCTCCTCCTTTGGTCCCCTCCCCTCTTGTCTCTTCTTTACCCTCTATCCTCTCTCTGCACCTATGGTCACCGACCTGAGCGTCCTCCATTCCTTGTGGCAGTGTGGCCACCTGAGGTGATGGCGACAGTCCCTCTGCGTGAAAATTCCGAGGTCATCCCTGAAGGGCTTGTCCCTCACCTGATCCCACAACTTCCGTCAGTCCCTGACCAGTGCTTTATAGCTAAACGAAGGGGCTGTCCTCCTGGACCGAGAGAGCCCTACTTGTACCAAATTCTGAGAAGCGGAAAGGCAGATTTAAAAAGTGCTTGGGAAACTTAGTTGTATTTTGTTTCTCCTCTTGATTTTTGAGACCTCTCTGGAAGTAAAGTGGAGACTCCCTTTTGCCCTATCAACTTTAACACCCAGAGAGAGATAGGAGGAAATCTGAAGAAAAAACAAACAAACAAACAAACAAACCAGAAAGATGGTCAGGACTTCGAGGTTAGGTCCTCAACAGGGGACCTGAGCCATTCTCAACCTGAGAGAAAGAGAAGGAGAAAAGGAAAAAGGGGGGAGAAAAAAAGAAGAGAAACAGGAGGAGGAAGAGACTCACATGCTAGGAGGCTCACTATCAACCAAGGTGAGCCTGCAGGTAAGGTGCTGGAACCCTGGAACAGGTGTCCCTGCAGGTGGCTACCTAGGGAGAGAGCCGAGATACCCATTGCAGAAGGAGCTGGGCTAGTGTAAACACAGAGGGTCTGGCTGGGCTTGGTCCTGGTGTGGGGCTGCAGGGCAGTCCCAGTGCCTAAAAGAACGTCCAGTTCTCCCTTGTCAGCAGGATGATGTCTGTCTCTGGCATGACCTGACCAGCCCTGTCCCTGTGGGGAAACACCCCAGAGAGCAACCGGACTCTCCAGTTACTGTGAGGACCCTGTTTCTGCAGAGCCTGCAGCATGCAGAAGTCCCCTGGCTGTGGCAGCTGCGGCCATGGAGGGTGGAGAGGGGATTAGGGTGCTGAGAGGCACCTTCATGCAGCAGGAACGAGCTACCTGGCAAGGGACAGAAACTATGCCCACTTCCCATGCGTTATCTGTTAAATTTTCATTTCCACATAGCCAAGGATAAAAATGGCAGCCAGTTCAGCAGCCTCAGCGCCCAGCCTCTGGGGGTTCCCCTGGTGTGGCTGAGCCCCGACCCTGGCTCCTGCTTAGGCTCCCCAAGAGCTCTAAGAACAGACACCTCAGCCCTCTGCCCCACCTCCCAGATGTTTCTTTGATGGTATCTGGATGTCAAATAGAAAGTTGAGGGGGACCAGATCAGGAGTAAACTGAGCCCACATCCCCAGGAGTCACTCATTCACAAATGAATGAGAGTCCACTTCTCAAAAAAGTTTCCCATCATGACAGAAAAGTGGTATCAGCCACCTCCAAGCAGACCCCCGTGGCAAGCAGAGCCGGCAACTGGGGCGGGGCCTTATCCGGAGTCGCTCCACTGTGAACACTGGCTCAGCCCTTAGCCCCAGTCCCAATTCCAGCCCCTGGTTGCCTGACACAGCACCCTTCTGATCCTGGCAGGGCTGGGCGAGCTTCAGAGATCCAGAACCCCGTCCATGACAGCCTCATCAGCGCTCCTCAGAAATTCCCCACCCCCCAGGACACTCGTGTGGAGGTTGTAAGTTCCAGGGTAAGTTTAGCCACAATCGCTGCTGTTGCACTCAGCGGGTTAATCTGTTCCTCGGTTCCCGTGCCAATCCCCCAGAACAGCGGGCGCCATCCACCCTGCCCTCCACCAAGCAACCAGGGGCGCTGCTTTCTTGCAAAAAAGCCGTATGTCAAAGTTCCTGCATCCCGGTTGGACGCGCCCTCCCAACCCTCCCAGCCCTGCCGGCTGCTGGCTCTGCAGTTTTCCAAATGTGGATGATGCCGGGAGCCAAGAGAAAACTCCAGGCACCCCTTCTGGAGCCACGCGGCACCAGCACCCACAGAACCCACCTCACCAGAGGGCACACCCCCACCACTGCCGATAAGTTTTCAGGGGCTTTCCTAGCTGGTGGGCAGCTGCAGCAGCCAGCTGAAAGGGACTCACCAGGGAGCCCTGGGCGCCCCTCGGGCTGGGCTGGTGACCGCGACAGCAGTGGCAGCGGGCGCAGGGTCGCGGCTCCCCGGGAGATGCTGCAGCAGCGGCAGCGGTAGCCACCTCCTCCCGGAGCCAATCGCAAATGCAGGGGTGGGGGCGGGCCGGAGCTCCCGTTGCGTCCGCACTTGGTGGGGGGGGGGGGAGAGAAAGAAGACACCAGCACCCCGACTCCGCACCCCTGCCCTTCCCCCCAGCTCTCCTGCAGCAGCGCAGACTTAGCAGCAGGGAAATCTTGAGAGAGAAGGAGGAAGAGAGAGAGGAGGGGAGAGGGGAGGGGAGGGGAGGAGAGAGAGAGAGAGAGAGAGAGAGAGAGAGAGAGAGAGAGAGAGAGAGAGAGAGAGAGAGAGAGAGAGAGAGAGAGAGAGAGCGTTGATGCAGAGTTAAGGAGGCAGAGCCCAGCTGCACACCTTGCTTGCCCGGCCAAAGCTGCAGGAAGCTCCTGTACCCTCAGCCCTGTCGGTACCAGGTAGAGGTCAGAGGAGAACAAAAGGGAAAAAGAGAAAAGCCCCGCGGGTATGCACGCTCACACATGCACGCAGCCCCACAGGCCAAGAATCATGCATGCAGGGGGGGTGGGGGGAGGGCAGAGCCGGGATGGCCTGACCCAAGGCTGGTGGGGCATGGGGCCCTTGGATCAGGAGCGACCTCACCTTGGCAGTTCTTATATACCCGGCCAAACATCCCAAACACGCGGCCCGGCCAAGTGGCCCCCCTCGGGCTGTGCGCCCTGACCATATTTAGTCAAGCAGGGGAAAAAATAGCCTGTCAGCTGGGCCGAGGCTGGCCAGGCAGCAGGGAACAGGGTGGGAGCCCCGGCACCATTGACAGCGGTCCTGGGCTGCCCCGTCCCCCTCTCAACCCCTCCCTGACCAGTCGCTACCGGCTGTCCCTGTCCTGTCCGAATCCCCTTGCTATTTTTAGCTAGACCCAGTACAGAGGTGCCTCCTCCCTAGTGGGCACTTGCCTCTCTCCACGGCCACAACAGCCCATTCCTCAGAGTGGCCTGGGGAGACTGGAGCTGACCCAGGGAGCAGGGCCCAGGAAGGGAAATGGGTGCTGTCCTGGCCTTAGTCCCCTAAAGGCCCAGCTGGCCCAGGGCCTTAACATCTCCAGAGTGGTGTCTTTTTTGCTCAAATGTAGGGTTGGGTCAAGGAGCAACAGAGTCACCACCAGTTTTCCTGAGGGTCCCAAACCAACCCCAGGTAATGAGAATCACAGGTCACCTTGAGCAACCGACAAAGCCAACTAGTGAGTCATTCCAACATCTTCCAGACCCTGACAAGGGTATATGGCTGGAAGACCCCGTATCCACGGTGGTGAGTACGATTGGAAATGCCTCCATTCTGGCTCCCACCCGGGTCATAGAAAAGACAAAGCTTGGGAAGACAGCCCCACTGAGCTGAGAGTCAGAATCTAGCAGCTTGGGATCAACCAACTATCCCCTTGGAGCAGAGTAGCGTTGAGCAGGTCTCTGCCACCCTGCCACTGTAAAGAACAATGATAACAAACACTTGAGATGACTTGGGAGCCATTAGTGGAGGCCAGAAACAGGCCCCTCAGTGGACATGAGTGCTCCTTCTGGCAAAGCCCTGCACAGAACACGGGCATCCGAAGGCTTCCTGCTGTTTTAGAATCCACTCACAAACCTCCTGTACTTAGAGAAGTATCCCCCAGCCCTGTACTGGCCAATATGGGGAAGGGTGATCATATACATCTTCCCAGGAGGAAGATGTAAGCAGCCTGCTCCTACCAAGGCCACCTCCCAGGTGGTGAGGTAAGGACACCCCTTCAGCTCCACTCCCAGGCTCTCGGTAACCCAGCAGGAGAGAACACTGACCAAGGCCAGTCCACAGAAGCAAGAGAGAGATGAAGCCATACCGTAATCACCACATAGGCTGGCTGTGACCAGTGTCCCAACCAAGGAGAGAGAAACAGGGAGAAGGGTACCCATGGCTGTCCAAGCTGGGGTGGGTGCCGTGCCGCAGCTATACCCAGGACTCACAGGCTACGGGGCTGCCTCTTTCCCAGGGAAGGTATAGTAAACAACCTGTCCCAAATTCCTCCAGGACACAGCCAAAGGACAAACTCCTGAAGAGGGAAGCCATGGGCCCCGAGCTCCCAGCCTCTTAGGACTTCGCTGCCCACCGATAAGGGAACAAGGCACCTCCTCACAAGGGACACAGAGTTCAGCTAGGACCACCACGTTGAGGTCCCCTCAAGAGTGCACTTGTGTTGTAGAGTACTATTTTAAGATGTGCTACATTTGCTTACGTTGTGGAACATTTGTTCAATGATGCAAAGATGTGTTGCATTCTTTTATGTTGCATTTGTTTAACTCTGTGAAGCTGTGATCCTTTGCCTGTCTAAAACACCTGATGGTCTAATAAGGAGCTGAATGGCCAATAGTGAGGCAGGAGAGAGGATAGGCAGGGTTCACAGATAAAAAGTATAAACAGAAGGAGAAATCTTGGAGGAGAATGAGAAGAAGCAAAATAAAAAAAGGAGGAAGACATCAGGGGCCAGCCACCCAGCTACACAGCAAGCCACGGAATAAGAAGTAAAAGAAGGTCTACATAGTCCAGAAGCAAAAGGTAGACGGCATATTTTAAGATAAGGAAAGCTGGCTAGAAACAAGCCAAGCTAAGGCTGAGCATTTATAAGTGATAATAAGCCTCCCTGAGTGTATTTATTTGGGAGCTGGATGGCAGGCCCCCAAAGAGCAAAAGACTAAAAACCAACCAACAACTACATTTTGGCACTTCAGTGTGGGGCTAAAGCAACACGTGTGTTTAGTATGGTAGCACAAGTCTATAATACCATTCAGGAAGTGGAGTTGCCAAGAGTTTGAGGCTAGCCTGGCTATGGTGAATACCAAGCCAGCAGGAGCTACATAGTAAGACTGCCTCAAAATAAATAAATAAGCAAATAAATGAATAAGTATTGTGCCCATAATAACATGGATAGTTGGGAAGGTCTCGAGAACTGTTGTCCCCAACACATTTCCTTTTGAGGCTTCCAATATCTTCTTTTGGAGAATTAAATGTATGGATGATGGATGGATGAATGACTTATGCAGTCAATTGACTGAACCATTGATTACTAGACAGCAAGGCCCAGGACAGGGCATGGTGGGACTGGGGTCTCTGGACAGAACCATGTTTATGTAATTCAGCTTGAATTTGGATGAGATTTAACATCTTATGGGGAAGTGGTACGAGGTCCATGATGGGTCAGCCCAGACAGAGGTTATAGAGACATTTTCCCACAGCTATGTAGGTTCCTACAGAGACTAGTCCATATCTGTGCTAACCAGCCTGTCCTCCACCCAGGAGAAGGAGCTGGAACACCTTTGCCACTAATCATTCCTCCTCGAAACTCACTGACATTGAGGCTAAGCAATGTCCATGTACCATCCGTCTGTCCTTGTACCTGCGAACACACGGCTCTCAAGAGAGGTGGACACTTCTTATTTCTTCCCCAGGCAACAGGATGGAGGAGACACTGTTCCCATCCAAGCCCATGTCTTCATCCCCACCCTGACCATTCCATGTCAGTGAAGCCACTGCAGAAAACAGGCAGCAGCTTCTCCAGTGATAAGACCTCAATACGCCCGAGCAACTGCTCTGCTGGGCACGTGTCTGGAGGGTCCCTGAAGCATTGGCTTTGGTGCAAACAGCACAACCCAGATGTCATCGACTAATGACCAGGGGACAATACACCGCATGTTGATAGGATGGAATATTAGTTGGTCATAAAAACAAAAGCACTGCTACATACCATGACTGTTAAAAACGGCGCAGGGTCAACACAGGGGGCCATAAACTGTACGTGGACTGAATGTGGAACCCCCAGGATGGACAGATCCATAGACAGTCAGAGAGGGAGAGCCCAGGGGAAGTGGGTCTCCTTCAGGTGATGTTATGGAGGGACCTAGAAGAGACAGTTATACAGCATTAGATGCCATAGATGCTGTCCAATGATGCTCTCTTTAAAATGGTTCTTTTATCTTTGTTTTGTTTTTCTTTTGAGGCAGGATTTCTCAAAACCAGCGCCACCAGGAAGCTTGTTGTGTAGTTGAGGATGACCTTGAACTTGTGACCCTCCTGTCTCCACCTCCTTAGTACGAGGATTAAAGGTATTACCATCTTGGTTCCTTTATCTTGCATGAATTTCTCCCCAATTGAATAACAGACAAACCTAGGTAAATTTCTCTCCCCTCTGGCCCCCACTCCTGGCCTCAGGACTACACAGCCCCGGGCATAGGCACCTAGATCTTCAAGGACCTGGCTATAGTTTTCTTTGGGACATTCCCCAGGATGCTGTAAGTTAGCCCCATTTCCCCTATTCAGTTCTGTCCAGAGCTGGAACATTCTGTGGAATGGACAGAAGATTCCACCCCTCTTCTCAAGGATACTCCAGAACCTCAGGCCATGTCTCTGTGTGATGGTCCATCTTCCTTATCAACTTCATAGGATTTAGAACACCCATACATCTAAGTGTATCTGTGAGGGAGTTTCTAAAGAGATTTAGCTGAGGCAGAAAGATCCACCATCCTGTGGCCTTGAGTACCATGTGCTGAATGAGAAGGAGAAAGTAAAACTGACCAGGCTGGCCTCGAACTCACAGAGATCTGCCTGTCTCTGCCTCCCAAGTGTTAGGATTAAAGGCATGCGCCACCACTGTGTTCTAAAGAGCAGATTCGCCCCTTTCTGTGTTCCGAGGAGCAGATTCGCCCCTTTCTGTGTTCCGAGGAGCAGATTCGCCCCTTTCCACATCCCCACCCGGGATTCAGGGTGATTTGCTGCCTCCTGCTCTGCCACAGGGACTCCTCACCATGATGACTGCATCCTCAAACCAGGAGCCAACAGAAGCCCTTCCTTCCTTAAATTACTTCTTTCCAGGTATGTAGCCCCAGCGATGAGAAAAGTAACCACCCTGCCTTGCACAGCAGAAGGGGTTAGTTTGAGAAATTCAAGATGGCAATTGTTCTGAACCATCCTGGACCAGTGTCCTCACAGGATCCTTCTAGGGGGAAGGATGGCTGGAGGCGTGGGAGTACACTACACTACTGGCTTAGGATGGAGGAGCGGACCACGGATGGAACCCTGCAGCCTACAGAGGGAGTCAGCTGACATCAGGCTTCGGCTTCTAGCCTGTAAGAGGATAATTGAGTATTCAAGCACTGAGTGTACAGCATGTGTTACAGCAATCAAAACACACTCATACCTTGCCTATGGCTTTCGAGGAAACCCTCCCAGTGAGTAGAGACATAAGAACCCTGACCTGAGACTCCCCAGGGCCTACACACATGGTAGCATCAGCTTCTTTGTGATCTTGGGTCCTCCCCAGTCCCCTGTGCAGCATGCCCTGACCTGAGCTACCAAGGAGCCAGGCAGGAAGCTATGTTCCAGAAAGGTCCATGGGCCGGGGAGGGCACTGGCCAAGGAAAAGGGCTGATTTGATGTAGATTTCAGAATACCCCTGTGACTATGCCTATGGACCAATTTTCTGGGCTGGCCTGGTCTAGGCCTGACTTGGGCATAGGCACTGACTCCACAGGCAAGCAAGGTCAGTGAGAAGACAGCCTGGGCTCCAGACAAATTCCATGACCCCTCTCTGTCAATGCTCAGTCCAGATATCTGCAGTCCTGTCCAGGATGGTCAGCTGGTCACCAAGAGCCAGGAACTGAAGTGAGCCACAAACCCTGAGGCATATCAGAGACCTAAAGCTGCTGCTTAAAATGGTGTCCCTTCTGGGTACCCGTTCAGCATGCTGGGGCTGTGAGCTGGATTTCACAGAACCTTTATGGGGCCCATGAGCACCATGAGTCCCCAACAGAAGTGGAGTCTGCAGCACTGCCCGGTATCAACTAACCACTACCCTGGTGTTTGTGGTGTACACTCGGGGCATGATGCATCTCTATGGGGAGGGCTTGTGTTGCCAGTGTGGCCCATGGAGCAGAGCTATAAGGGAAAGGCACGGGAACATGAGGCATCTTCTCCACGCCACAGGATCCCACAGCCCTCACCACACCGGGAAGGCTGCCACTGCCAGACCTGGTGTACCCATAGGCACCCCACACACACACGCGCATGTGTGCACACACACGCACCCTTAACAGCAGAGGGAAAACCTCCCTGGCAGCTCGGAAAGAAAGGCATTTTTCACTGCCACAGTGTCAGTGGAGAGCAATCTGTCTCCTGCGATGGACGTTCCCCTCAGTAAGGTGACAGCTCAACCATCAGCAGATGCAGGATGCTACCCAGCCCAAGGCCCAACAGTTTAGCCCCCAGCCAGACCTGAATTACTCAGCAGTTCCAGGTCAGCAAACCCAGGACAGACTGCAGGCTGGGTAGAGGGCAGGGCCTAGGATCTGAGTCGGGGGCCAGGCAGGGCTTCAAAGCCTCCCAGCCCCCAAGCTAACCGGTCGGGTTCAGAGCCAGCTTTTCCAAAAGCCATTACTCTCCCTGGAGGACATACCAACACCCTGGAAGAAGACCTGAGGTGACAGGTAGGCCAGGCTTCAAAGCTCCCAGGTCTACAGCCTCTCCTAGTTTAGAGGCATGGAAACAGGGTTGAGACCAGTGTTGGGGTGAAAAGGGAGCCCCTCCTGTAGCCCTCACCCTATTATGCACCATCTATGAGGAGAGTCAGATGGCAGCCTGGTTTCTACTCACCCCAGGACGGCCTTACAGGCAACAAGGGACAGAAGGCAAGGAGAGCTAGTGAACCCCTTATCCCATGTGGCCCCTAGACTGTTTTTCTATCTAGATGGATCCCACAGGCAAGGATAAGGGGGAGACAGGCCAGTAAATGGATGAGTAGACAGATGGACAGATGGACGGATGAATGGATAGGTGGGTGGGTGGGTGTGGGGGTGGATTGGTGGATGGATAAGTAGGTGGATGCATGGGTGTGTGGGTGGATAAATGGACGGATGGATGGAGGGAGGGAGGGATAGATGGATGGACGGATGGAGGGATGGAGGGATGGATAGGTGGATAGATGGGTGGGTGCATGAGTGTGCGGATGGATGGATGGATGGATGGATGGATGGATGGATGGACAGACTGACAAATGGATAGATGGATGGTTGGGTGAAGGGAGGTGAGAACCCATAAGAGTCTATTTAACCATTTATTAAGGGGTACAATAAAAAACAAACTCACGAATACAGAACAAGGCAGCTGCCCCCACTGATCCACCTGCTGTGGTCCCATTGTTCTCCCAAGGGCCATGAGGACCAACGTCAAGCTGCCTGTCTGGTGCCTGCTCCAGCTCTGACCTCACCCTAGAGAGCTCACACAACCCTTCTCCATTTTATCCCATCACGTCTCCAGAGAAAACCATGCTCATGGCAAGTAGTCCCAAAAGTCATTGGCTAAGTGGATCCAGCTCCCACAATAGTTGGATGAATGGGTGGGTGGGTGGATGAATAGGTGGACAAATCGGGGACTAATTTCTTCTGTATCTTAAGAAATCTGCCCCAAATTTAAGTCTCTGCTGGGATGCAGAGCACAACAAAGCCCGCTGTAGAGCAGCCTCTTGGACTCCACTGAGGCCTGAGCGCAACAAACCAGAGGACACAGCCTCCCTGCCCAGAGTTACTTCCCTGTCTCCTCCATCCTGGCTCCTTAGCCATGGCAATGGCCTCACAACTGACTTCACTGGCACCTCGCAGCTCAGGAGTTATTTCTTCATCACTGTGTGCCAGCCCGTCATGCCAAACCCCCACTGAGCCCCCATGACCTTCAGCCGTCATGGTCCAGACTGCCCTCCATTCTGCCCTTCTCACTCCTAGGCAGACCCAAAATGTCTCCCTGGTTCTACCTCCAGGTCTTGAACACAGTCTGGGTGCATTTGTAGGCCTGCTCCTCAACTCATCAGAACAGCCTGGCACCCTCTCTGGGAAGCCCTCCATGTGCCTACTATACTGTAAGGGACCAGGTGATGCAGGGGGGTGTCTCAGCATGCACTCTCTGGGTTAAACATGGGGGAATGGGACAGAGGAGAGATGGAAAACTGGCCGGGAAGACTAAGACCCACCATGGTGACTATTTCTGGTCCCTCCAGAAACCTCCTACCTCAGATACCCTCCCCCTGGTGCCTGCCCCTGCCTGAACCCCTGCCGCCAAGCCTGGTCAGCCCTGCAGGTCCTGACCATGAGGAAAGCCCTGAGTAATGAGAGCCACATTTCCAACAGTCGTTTTCTCAGGAAGAGCCTGACCTCAGAAGTTGCCCTGTTGTACTAGGGTCAAGGCCAGGGTCCTTCACCCACCTCCTGTACACACAAGGTCTGCTACCCACCCCCAACCATTCGGACAAGGCCCTTGGAGCGACCCTGAGGCTGTTCGCTGAGTCCCTGTGGCTCTACGAGAAACATTCTGGGCCTCCTCCAGGGAGAGGCTCCTGTGTAGACTTCAGCCCTGAAGCATAATTCATAGGTTAGCATGAAGTATCAGCTTAGAGGGTAGGTGGCTGGAGGCACCCACGACTCCACGTCCTCCAACCTCCCATGAACCTCCGCATTCTCTCAGACTTGTGCCTTGTTTTTACCAAGAGCTACACCAGGAGGAAGTGAGCACTTCTGTGTTGTTGAACACAGTTCTGCAGGTTCCTGAAGACCCTCCCACTTCTGTGACCCTGCCCCCACTGTTCTGGTGTGCACCAGAGAGTACCAAAATGGAGAGGGAGGTGAGAGGGGCAGGAAGGTGGCGGGGAGACAGGGAAGCATCCTACAGGATTTTCCTGCCTTTCCCTGGGCCTGGCCTACCTCCTTGCTGCCATCCCCACCTTCCTTTTCCTTCTGCCCAGCAGAGCCTCCCCCTCACTGGGGAAGAAGACGTGTCAGCATCCTCAAGACTCAGGGAGCCAACGGAGTGTCAAGCCCTTGCAGTTCACACGTGCTCCTGAATGGACGGGGTCCGCCCAATGGCAAGTGATCTCACCTGGACACAGAGTCATCGCTGTGTGCAGAGTCCCTGCTTGGGGCAGAACAAGCCCTGCTGAGTCACCTGGTTCCTTCTGGGAAAATTCCAGGGACCTAGTCCCTGACACCCTTCCCTTCCCTGGGGTCCACAGAGAGACCTTACAGCCCAGAGAATTTCCTAAGCCAGGCTGCAGGTTTTCTGGGCTGCCTTTTTTTAGCATGTCATTGATGGCCCCACGGCTGGGCCATTGACCTGGCGGGGAGTTTGTCACTGGCTCCTGGGAAAGCTTAGTGATAACACTCTAGAGTTCCAGTCCCTTGCCTGGCCTCGGCTTTGGCCTCTCCTGCTGCCCAAAGGGAGCCTCCAAGTTTGAGCCCCTGGGCTCGTTCTAGCTTCCCACTGATGGGTTAGAGGGCTTCTCCTAGGGTCTCCCTTACAGAGGGGTTGATGGTCCCCAGAACCAGGAGTGGCCTCATTCTCCAGGGACTGTCCTCCATGGAGTGTTGATCCAACAAGCTCTCCACCACAATTAGCCCTTCCCTCATCCTTGCCCTATAAATATTCATTTTGGAGATGTTATAAAGATGCTTTTTTAAAAATGCCAAACTCATTTGGATAAAGAGCTGAGCTGCTGCCAAATGCAGCCAGCAAACTGGGCTCTAAGGTGCACAGTGCAGAGGCTGCCGCGGAGTAGCCTCCCCCAGGTCACATGGCGCTCTCTGGGGGACAATTTAACTTGGGATGGGTTTTGGCTCCTTGCAGGGAACATCTAACAACGTTGAAGCAGACTTGGGATATAAGCGTGTGGTCCCCATCCACAAGAGGGTGAGCTGTGAGAGCCCTTGCAGACCTAGGTAGGAGATGGCTACCCAGGAATGCCACATCACGGCCCACCTCTCTGCATAGCTGGCTCTGCAGACAACTCATCCCAGGGGACCCGACAGCCTCTGGCATTATCCTAACCTGCCATGCCCCCACCTACCTGGATATCTAGTTGCATAAACTGAACTCACTATATTCCCAGGGTAATCTGTGAATCTGGGCCTGGGTGGAGGCCACTATCCAACCTACCCTCCCGTCAACTGTGGCTGGATGTTGGGGTCCAATGGGTGTTGGGGTGCAGCACTCACTCTTCACAGCGTCCGACTGTTTAATAAAGAAAGACAGGTCTCAGGCACAGGAGTAGCCATACACTTGTGTACCAGTGGAGGTTTGGCTCTCAGGCAAGCGTTGCACACACTCTGGAGTCCCTGGAAAGGTTTGACTCTGAGGCAGGGTCTGGCCATACTCTCGGGACCCCAAGGACACTTTCCTTCCTCTGCTCCCCTCCTCCTGGCTAGTTTTCTTTGAGAACCACCCTGCTCGGGAAGGAGCCATCCACTTAAAAATGAGTTCCGTTAAGTTCTGATGAATGATTCTGCCATCTCATAAAGCTCCATAGGAAGTCCAGTCGGGTTCTCAGAACTTTGGAGGTATTCCTTAAATTTATTGTGAGCCCTTATAAAATATTGAATTGATATCCTCGGGTATCCTTTTGTGGAGAAGGCAGGCCTGCGATGGTGATTGTCCCTCTATCCGGAGACTCCCCCAACTGCAGCTTGAGGTTCCCTCAGGAAATCTTAGAGTTTGGATCTACAGGATCAGAATAGGGGCTCAGCCTGGAGAGGGAACCCAAGGCACGGCTCTCTGGAACCTTCATTCCTCTCAATCCAGGATGCTGAGGACATTTGACCCTCCAGCTCACCAAGAGGTGAGGGACTCTATTTCCCAGCTTCCTCTGAAACCCCCAAACTCCAGTTCCTTGGGCCCTTGCTGTGTGCAATCACTCACATGACTTCTTGACCTACAGGTATCAGAAGGGATGTGAGGAGGGGCAGGCCTGTCCTGATCGAAGGTGGTAGCCATGCTGTGAACTCTGTGTGTGGAGCATAGCCCTTGTCCATAGCTTCAGAAGCAGGGCTGTCTACTCCACCGCTTCAAGGAGTTGAATTCCATGCTAACCTTATGACTTTGGGTGAGGACTGACCTGCAGAGACAGCTCTAGCCATTACCTTGATTTCAGTCTGCGGCTCTGACCCAAGGCCTTGCCACGGTCTGCCTTAGTCCCTGCAGATTGGAAGGTGACAGAAAGAGGATCTCCTGATCCTCAGAGTCGAGGTCCTTACAACTCAGAGTCATCTTGTTGTGGGGGCAGTAGACCATACCTGGTCTGCTTCTTGTTCCTGGGACAGCAGAGCTGGGAATCATGGCCCTGGAGTGTGTGTTGTGCCTTGTTCTGTGGCCAGTCCCCCTCCTGGCCCCACTAGGAAATCTAGAAGACTCCAGATGCCCTCCCCGGAGGGCTCTCATGCCTTCTTCCCCAGAATGACAGCCCGATACTCACTGACCTCACTATGCCATACTTTGAGTGGGGTGAACTGACCACACTTGCTTCGATAGTGTGGTATTCTCAGACACACTGAGACAGGGGAACCAGCATGGCCATGAGTGGCAGAGACAGGGTCTTCATGGCAGGACATCTGACTTGTATCATCCAGAACTTCCAGCAGCCCCGCTCCTGGCAAGGCTGCTGCCTACAAGGTCCTCTCTTGAGGGCCTGGGGTGACCTTCACAAGACTGTGATGCTTGCTGTGCTGAGACATTCTGCGTTCATGGTTATGAGTGATTTTATTGCCCAGTCAGTAAGAACCTTCTGATTATGTCATTGCAGAGGCAGCTGGATGCCAAAAAATATGCATTTCCTTCCGTCTGCTACTGACCCCTCTGCCTTCATGCCAGCTTTCCTCTGGTGCCTCTCCTGTGCCCTCTGTGATTAATAGGACCTGGAAATGCACCAAGGATCCCTGGGGCTGTAGCTGGAAGAGCAGAAGGGCCCCACGGTCGTCAGACGCCTGGTTCCTTGGGCTCCTTGGTCACAGAGGGGGTGGAGGTGGCCTTAGTGCCCAGCCAGGACACACTGAGAGGTTGACATCAGCGCAGATTCATGCTGCACACTGGGCACCTGTTAGGCAGACCCAAGAATAGCCTTTCCGGGGGGCCAAACAGTCCGTCAGCGGCTAGGAGGCCATGTAAGCCCCAGTCCTGTGATGGAGCTGTTCTCTGTAGACATGGGCGTGTCTAACGCTGTGACCCTGGAGCTGTTTGTGTCTCATCCGCCATTTACCCACCCGGGAAAGGAGGGGTTTCCACCCATCCTCTGTGCTCTGGTGGGGAAGGGATAACTCTGACCAGAAGTAAAGGTCCAAACAGGGAGAGGATAATTCTTTGAATGCATGATGCTCATGACTCAGGAACCCACCCCATCCCCAAATCCTTGCTCATCTAAATTTTACTAGCCCGGCAACTTTCAGACCCTCTAAGGACCCGTACACCCCAGCCCTTGAGCTAAATCACCCCTGGTATATCTGACTCCAGGTTAACTTAGCTGAG